ATATTTGAGCAGTGATATAATTAGGGCTGATCTTAGCAAATGGCATATGTCAACGTGCAATAAAATCTTTGATGTAAACTATTTATTTGAAGTGATGCCTAAAAATTCTGCCCATCTATTTCAAAGACAAAATGTTGAGTGGGCAAGATAATAAACATTAAATAAACAAATATATGACGTTTTGTAATTGGAGTCTACACGTCCGAACATCTTAGTAATAATTTATACAGGAAAATAACGAGGGTAATTATGTTGTGTAAGGTGTTGCAGTTTCTCCTTGTAACATACTGTATTCCTCGTATCGTTTAGAAAGTCATCACAACAACCAGACGGGAGAAACTCTGTTGGAAGTAAAGCAATACTACTAAGCGATCTGTCTTCCATGTTAAATTATACCTACGGGAAAGCTGATGGTCTGCCTCCAAGGTTGTAAACAAGAATTGTGACACTTTTAGTTACGCAAGACACGACACGCTCTATATATATTTTCTGGCGGTAGAATTAGGTTATTTTATACAGCTATACAGTGATTTAAGTCTGTAGGGATATAATTAAGAGATACAACACAATGGGTTTTTTTTCTCGTCACTTTCACTGTACTTCCTCACTCTAGTGGAGCGACTAGCGGCCGCCTCATGCAATCTCTCCTGCATGTTTTCTCTTTCTAGGTCCCTGCAACACTTTCTTTCCTCTTCAACCTCCTCCCCTTCCCATACTTCCATCTCGTTTTTCCTTTCTCTCAATTGCTTTCTTCCTTGTGTTGTTTCTCCTACTTTTTTCTTCGTGTTCTTTCCCCCCTTCTTCTTAGCCCTTCCTGTTTGATCGTCCGGGGAATCATCATACACTCCTGTTCTCTCATGCACAGTCTCAAATTCATGTTTGGAAGTCTAGGATTTCTCCTACTTTCTCTTCTTTAGCGAAATGTTACAGCGTAGATAAGTGACGCTAATGTAAGACGTTTGACACTATAGACATAAGATTACTGTATATGGTTTAAAAAAATAAGTGGTTTTCATGAGGCGATTATGTAAGCCTAACTTGTAAGGGCTGGGAAAATAATGAACAGTGAGCAGCATCTCATATGAGTAGATGAATAGATAGATAGATAGCTGTACAGATATAAAGATGGCAAGCCAGTAAAATCGTCACACATGTAGCTATACTGTACAGTGATTCAGCATCTACTATATATAGATATCAGGGGTTCTCGACCTTTTTTTGCACATGGACAACTTGAGGTCACCCGCTTGATCTGTGGACCATTCACCGCTTGTTTAGGTGGAGGTACAACTACTACAATTAACCGCTCATTAAATGTAAACAACTTGCGGAATTATGAGTGTTGTAGCCGAAGTGTGAAGACAAACGATAGTGCGCTTAACTAAGTGTCATATACGAAAGACTGTTAAAATATAAAACAAAAAAAAGTTAGTGTATCATAAGTAACCTCAATCAGTGAGACTTCAACAGCTCTGAAAAATAACAATATTCTGTTCGACACCAGCCACGATTTCTTCACCACTACAAGAGTTGGTATATCGCCTGAGTGACCGATAAGACGCAACTAAAGGATCTACTTTATTGAACGGTATAACTCAAACTGGTGAGGATGGACCCGGCTTGGTGTCCTGGGAGAGCGCCACCTTACACCACCCACACTGCCCTCCGACACCACCTCAAGCTGAGGGTCTTGCCTAATGTAGTAGTAGTCTTAACCCGTTTAGCAAGGTGAAGATCCGGATTTTTGTACATTAGGCTTTACGCTTTATGGTGGATTCTGAATGACTTCCAGCGTTGCTACACATATTTTCAAGTTAATTTAAAATTTAGTGATATCACTTAGGATTCTATATAAAAATAAACGACAAAATAAGTGAAAATGGAACCAATCACTGACACCATGATTTTCGTAGAACCAGATAATTTTAAACTGTATACATACGCAGAGTAACACACAAACTGTCAGTCTGTTGACCCAATTCTTTGTTTACGTCTCATGTAAGGCGCCATACTTTATTTCGAACTCAGAACAGCAAGATTCTGGTTCTAATTTAATATTCTGCTCGCTCTCTCTTTTAGAGGGGCTCATAAATTGCCAGCAAGTAGAATGGAGGAGGGAGGTCAAGGACTCTGTTAGGCAGTTTGCCAAGCTTATCTAAGCAAGTAGGTCAGATTTCTCGCCAACTCCTGTTCTCCCGCATGATTGGTCCTGAAGTCACTCTCTCACTATATGCAACAGGTCCTCTTGCAACGCGGGTCCTCTTGCAACGCGGGTCTCCCTGTGACTTGTTAAATGTGAAATTCCTTACACTGCTATACTGTCACGTGTAAACCAAGCCTCAGTGACCAGCCCTGTGCAACCTTGGCTGAGTCTTCTGCTATTGTGTGACACCCGAGCTGAGAACGCTCACACCTACTCTAAACAAGTTTGTATTAAGCCCGGTTATGAGAGATGTAATTCATTCATTCATTCATTCATTTATTCATTCTCTCTCCTCCCTAATACACATACAAAAGCTAATGATTTAAGGCAGCCAAGAATTCTTTGTCAAGGACCTCGCGAAAAACTTCAACAGACTTCTCAAAGACCTTGAAGTGTCTCCCAAGATATAAAAAGATTCTTTGAAGGGCGTAAACATAATCGGAAACAAAAAAATAAGAAAAAAAATCCTGAAGGTGCCTCGTGTGTCATCCTGACGAGGCAGACGATTGACGAGGTTTGTTATGATTGGAAAAAAGTTGAAATAAAACTGAATTAGCTGAACTGGGTATGACGTTTCCTTATCTATACGACTTACTGTACCAACGAGAGACACCTCCTGGAAATATCATCACCAGATATACACAGGTAGATGGAAAGATTTTAATTCAGTATACGGTGATCATCAGACAACTCACATTAGTTCAGTTTGTTTAGCCACTTCCACCCTCTGTGGTAACCTATGGCCGTAACTACCAAGTTATGTTCGATTAATGAATAAAACCTCGACTTCATATTCTTATAAGCAAGACCACCAATACTGCTTCACGGTCGTTGTCTTAGTAATGGAGGATATTTCTGATCTTCGTTTTTTATTTTCCTCGAGCAAAACAATATCCTATTAATAGCTATTGTCGTTAACAGATACATAATGATTTTATAACACCTTACTATAGCTTAAGGTAAAACAAAATGTAAACATACCACATATTCACAATCTATTTTAGTCAACCCTTTTACTTCCCAATGGTTTTACCCACACAATAATAATGAAATGGCAACTCATCTCGAGGTATACAACACAAATTACATCGATAATTTAATCATCACTACAGCGTATACACTCCACACATACGTTTAATGTCTTTCAAAATATTATCTGTGGTATTACTGCTAAAGCTGCCTCCCGAAAGCTGGGAATGCTGTACAGATGCCGTAGCTACTTCACTCCTGAGCAGTTGCTTCAAGTATACTGTATAAGGAATTCACTCGTCCTAACTTGGAGTACTGCTCTCATATCTGGGGTGGCTCTTGTTCTGTCCAACTGTTAGATAGGGTGGAATCAAAGGAATTTCGTCTTATTAATTCTCCTCCTAGTTGACAATCTCTCTTCCCTTTCTCTTCGCCGCAATGTTGCTTCACTCTCTCTTTCACAGGTACTTTAACGGGCAATGTTCGATGGATTTGGCATCCTGTGTACAGCCGGCAAGGCCGTGGGCTCGTAACACTCGTCTTGCCCGCGCTGCCCACCGTTTCTCTGTGGATGTCGGTTACACTAGAATAACCTGTTATAATACCTCCTTCTTTCCTCACACAGCCAAACTGTGGAATGCTCTGCCTTCTTCTGTGTTTCCATACTCATACAATGTTCCACTTTAAAAAGCTGGTTTTCCGGCATCTTCGTGGTGTAGATTAATGTAACTTTTTCCTCTTTTGCATTTCTTTCTACTCTTATTTTTTCGCCCCCCTAGACCCCGTTGTGGGTCGATGACCTGTGCCAGGATGGGCTATTCCCGTAAAAAATAAATAATAAGCTTTTATCACAAAACATTGTATGAGGAAGGATTTTTTTTCTAGTCAGAGGCACCAAACAATCCGATACATCAACGCGTCTGAAGCTATTGTTGATTTTTTACTCCACCGGACAATGGGGATCGAGATATTTTTTTTTAGCGGACTGTACATTGACAACACTATACAGGTAAACAAACCCACGTGGGAAACAGTGAGTCCATTTGACAAAGGAAATCCCAAGACATTATTAAATCATGTTTCCATTTGGGTGTTTTTGGTGGTTGGGGGAGACGTTACATTACAATATCAAACACTACGTTGCATTTAAAACTACGTGAGACTGATGGGTCATTTCCACAATAAAACTTTCAACAGTAATAGTTATTGTAGCTTCACTTATGTATTTCCTTATGCCTGGTTTGAATTGTTTGACATTATCACTGTTTTCAATAATTAAACAAATCACTTCAGTCCTTTATAACTGTAAAAAAAAATCATGTTCTCTTCCCCTATAGAGCCTTGCTGATTTAGATCCCCAATCCTTACACAAAGTATGAGGCAAGTTAATTTTGGACACAAATTATTGACAAAATTAAAACGAGGCTTGACTTTAACTGTTTCTAATCTGGCACTTACCCAATCTTTGCAAGGCTTCATGACCAACTTGATCTCTTGCATCTAAACCTAACATAAGCCTCACCATCTTTTTTTTGAGTATGTTGTAGTTTGGCTGTCATACTTAATATTAAGGCAGAATACCAGGATGAACAGAAATAAATAATCTAAGTGATACTGTGTGAGCTAATCATTGGGTCTACCGAGCCTCAGATGATACATTGGATTTCTCTATAACAATATAGGGATAATTTGCCAGCCATTGATAACTCCAGTTCACATTATAGCGCATTAGTTACACCCTTTGGGTCTTTGCCTGACACTAAGGACTCTATCATCAGTATACAACATAAGTTTATGTATAACATGAATGAACATGTTATTTACGTACCTTTAAATGAGCTTTCTACAGTTCCTGATTTAACAACACTTATTATTCCAAGGGCCCAGAGTCCGACGCGTGATGGCCTATGTTCCAGCGTCATCTGAGGCCTTCTGGTCCCCCCAAGACATCTTACGTGTAACTCTGCCCAACCAAAACCTATGACCTTGGTGCTTGATGAACAAAACGAGTTTTATTATTTGGAACACACGCCAAGTTGTTGAGTGTGGAGTGAAAGGCAGCCAGCCAGCCTAGCGAGTATCTTTGGGTCAAGGGGAGGTTAGGTGGTCAGGTGCATGGAAATATTTCTTACTCGGATGTTTATGTGTTTCAAAGGGAACTCCCGAGGATATTAATATATCGTTTCCTACAAATAAAAAACGACAGACATATTGTATTCCAACAGTTGGTAGACGAAAAAACAAACAGCCAGCCGATTAGGTTACACGAGACTGACTAGGGTGCTCACTAGACTAGACTACACACACAAAACAAAACAAAATAATTGGACTAAACAAAAACCATTTAACGTTCAGGACAAAATGATATCACAATGCAAGACTATTCGTTCGACATTAATGTTTGAAGGTCTTGGCCTATACCGTATATGCAAGGGCATTTTAACAATATAATTAAATTTCACGTACTTGTTATGGTGACCTAAACAAGCGAAACAAGACACCAAAGATCATGATAATAGTTGTGTGTGTGTGAAAGACAAACCTGAAAAGGTGCCAAATCGACCCCCTCACCTGGGAGTCGATTACTCCACACCGTAACACTTGGAGAAGCACCACACGAGGTGTCAATACTTTCGAGTTAGCCCGACTTCAAACCAAGGCAGACAAGCGCCAACGTCAGAAAGACGCTACCACCACAGTAGATGGAGCCTTCCACATGTGCAACCAATGTGGACGACGCTGCGGGTCCCGTATCGGTCTCTTTAGTCACCTCAGAGCTCACCAACCTAGGTGACATCCCTAATAACTCATATCATTGTATCATAGCTGGATGATCGTCATACTCGATTCCGCGTGACAGCAACATAGTAGTAGTAGTGTGTGTATTAAACAAAGTAATACTCCTAATCATAACCTCTATCTCTTTATCTCACATTCATTCTCTTTTCCATAATTTTCACATTCCCATTATGTAAACAATTTAAATTCAGTAAATAAACCGATAATAATAAATGCAGATAATTTAGCCTGAGAGCTTACAGATAACCACTAACCTAAAGCAAACATTTAGTATAACATCACCTCGTAAGAACACCAAGGCAGCCATTAACCTAACTTATCGACATGTAAAAAATAATAACTAGTTGTGTCTGTGGCCGCTACTCAGTTAATATGTTTTTTTATTGGACGAGTTTAAATTTACCGAACATAATACTGTACGCTTCACATAACGTCATTTGGTCAACTAGCGTAGGTACACATTGAAGAACTGGAAATGTTGTAAATCTAAATAAGCATTCGGTGTAGTGTAGCTCCTTTTACACGGCATACGCATACAAAATGACTTTCTTGATGTAATAAACTTCAGCGACTCTTTATAACTACTCAGAGTAATCATATATTTTTGGTTGAAGATTACTATGTATGTGTCTCCTGGGGTGTGTAAGGTGACGTCAGTATACTCCCCTACAACTGTGCATCTCAGGGGGCACAGAAACAAAAGTAAGCTACAGTTGAAATAACAACAATAGCTTACTTTTTCTGTACAACCCTGTATGTAATATAAATACTGTATGTTTTTCCCAACTGCCGTAAACACTATTTTTACCAGAACTATACGACATTCACACAAGATACATCTCTTCTACAGGAGTGAAGAGCCTCAGCATGAGGACGAAGGTGTGGTGGCTGGTGGTGACGGCGGCGGTTGCGGGGGCGCAGGACATCTCTCAGGGTATCCTCAGTGGGGTTATGTCGGGCTTGCGGGAACTGCCTGTCATCGGTAACGTCCTGCGGGCCGCCGTCCACCCCCTCTACATGCCGCTTGTCCGCCAGTTCCAGCCCAGGATCAACAGCAGTAAGTCTTCACTTTGTCAAATAAAGATCCCTATGTGACTTCTCGCGTGATTAATAATGTAAGCAAGCGTTAAATAGCCTATTGAATTATACCTTATCATCTGAAATAGTGATTCGTTCATAGATATCTTTCATATAAACAGCTTTAATGTCTCAAAGATTTTTATAATCTAATTGTTGAAATTCATAAAAAGTAACCCACAATTTGTTGATGTACTGTAACTTATGTCACTCCTCCATCTAAATATTTCGATGTTAAACTGACACAACAGTGGCCACCTCATTACGTTGTAGGAGGTAATTGGTGCTCTATGAAGACGCTTTAAATTACACCATACTCATAAGGTGCATTCAATGTTGTACAATTTCTCCATAACTGATCCCCCACTCAGTCCCTACACCTCTGCCCTGATCTTAAACTGATCTGCTCTCTCCAAACCAGTACCCATTTCTTCACCTACACACTCCTCGATCCTACCTCTCACCCGACTCCAGGCTGGCACTAATTCTACTACAAGAAACAGACAATACCATGACACAACAGACAGACTTCTGACCTCGAAGCCACGGCATGACTTGAGTTACACGATCAAAACCTTCACCTGTGCCTACTGGTCTTTGGGTTACAAGGAGCACCGCTGAGACAGGAGAGACCATCACCATACTCACTAACCCACCCCCCCCCACCCATCAGTTACCCTAATGAGCAAAAAAGTTCTCATCTGTCACACACAGGGGAGGGAGAGAACGAGTTCACTGAGATGTGTTTCGGGGAGCTGGGTTGCATCCTCTCTGACGATGACTTCTTCCACCCCATCCACCGTCCACTCAACCTTCCACCAAACAGCCGAGAGGAGATCCACGTGGTGTTTACGGTCCACACCAGAGAGGACAGTCAGGGCACCCAGGTGGAGGGCATCAACGTGACCAAGGTCCTCAACACCTTCTTTAATCCGAAGAGGAAAACAAAATTTCTCATTCATGGGTTCTTGGACCACACCGGAGTGACGTGGATGTGGGTAAGTGCAGTCTTTCTCACCATAATGACGTACGTGTGTGTGTGTGTGTGTGTGTGTGTGTGACCATAAATATAAATTCTTCGATTACAATAGGACATTCCAAGGAGCTATTTCCATCGCTTACTGTAGGATTACACACGTACTAACTTTCCGGGCAGGACATGGTTCGCGCCCTGCTGGTCTACGACGACTACAACGTGGTGACGGTGGACTGGTCTGGCGGGTCTCGGGCTCTCTACTCCCAGGCCACCGCTAACACTCGAGTGGTTGGCCTCGAGGTTGCCCACTTCATCAACTGGCTCAAAGACAACGCTCTTCTCGACCCCAAGGATGTACATATCATTGGTCACTCTCTTGGCTCACACACTGCAGGTGAGTGTTTCAAGTCACGCTCGGTGGTAGGGCAACATCCATCATTAGGTGTAGGAAGGCACATACTGTAGCAGATGTACGAATACTTTCCTTCTGTTAGGTTAGGTTAGAAGGATAGATAATGGTTAGCTCGGTTATCCTACCCAACTTAACAGTACCAACCTATACTAATGGAGGGAGACAACTACAACTATGATGCGAATCGCTTCAGCCAATCAGACACAACACTGCGAAAATAAATTACCCCATCGTAGGAAAACAACAAACACTGGACAAAGCTGTAACGAAAAGTAAACTAATGTTTGTTTGTTCGTCAAATTATTAAAACGAAAATAGTGAGTCAGGATATTTAGTGTTCCCATAAAAAACATGAAAGGAATTTTACAGTTCGCAAATGATGAAAATTAAATTGAAATAATAATTTTAACCTTCAAAAATTACAAGTAACGATTCGGGTATCGTAGTGGCTCTTGTGAAGTTCACCTCGGGTAACAACAGTGCACAAACGGTTCTGTAGATGAGTTAATATGTATTGTGATGTTTGTATGGTGGATTACTGTCTTTCAGATGCTCTCCTTTATATGACAGTGATATTATATAAATTATTTAGCACTTGTAAGGCCAGCAGAATAGGGTCTAGCCAGAATGTTGGAATTAGGCAACATAACATACCGGGTAGCTGATTTTTGTTAGATATGTGGTAGTGACAGTATATTATCATACTGTATATAACTGTCCACTACATCTTGTGGTGGTGCTGCAGGGTACGCAGGAGAGCGGGTGTCCGGGCTGGGCAGGATCACCGGGCTGGACCCCGCCGAGCCCTTCTTCCAGTACATGCCACCCAGCGTCCGCCTCGACCCCTCCGACGCCATGTTTGTTGACGTCATCCATACTGATATTGACTCCATCCTCAACCTGGGCACTGGTAGTGGTACGACCAACGCTCACTCTTCCTGTCTACAACTGACGACTGAATGTTATGTGACCTATGAGGTGGAGCACCAAAATAGTCTAAGAACTAAATATATACACCAAGTGTATAATACTCATAATATTGTAGTTCACCTGATAAGAATTCTGAGCTGTTTCAGCAGAATTTGTCTCAAGCTCTATTCAAGCATAGTCTGAATATGGATTAATTTCCGCAGTAAAATTGCCTTCAAGAAGCGATGCAGTTATGTGTGTACTGTATATTCTGTATCAAAATATGAAAACATATTATGTTTTATTAAGAAAAACAAATTATTCAATTTTGAGTCATTAGTTATGTTTGTCGCATTTCTAATCTGTTGATGAAAATTATCCTTAAACTGCTTGATACTTTCCATGAGACAAGGCAGATGTTAAGACTCAGGTGTGTTGGCAGGTTATGGGCTGAGGCAGCCGGTCGGTCACCTGGACTTCTACCCCAACGACGGCAGGAACCAGCCGGGTTGCAACTCCCTCACCCGCGTCCCTTTTGCGGCCCTCACAGACGGTCTCAGCCTTTACGAGGGTCAGTCCTAAGTTCAACGACTTACTTTTACTAGGGATGTGGTAGCCATGTGGGTATAGTGCTCGCCCCATCCCAAGAGTAGCTGGTTCGTGCTCATCCACCTAGCTGTGGTTTAGTATATAGTGTATTGTAATTGTGTCCAGTTAACACCATCCTCTACAGGTCGTCAGGCGTATAGGACCAACGTTCATATACTGTACAACTAAGTGCAATAACATATATTAAGTTTACCTAAAATTCACTGCCAGACCGAGACAAAGGGCCACAAAACTTAGCTAATGCGGGGTTTTTCATTTCAATTGGTCAATCTCAACCTAACTCGTATTTTATTGGCTAACTGAGACCATGTTTAGATAAACACCAAGGCCCCAAGCCTCGTGTGGTCTGAACAAGAGTATCAAGAGCCTGTTGCAATATAATTCAAGGTTCAATTTACGTTGCTTCGAGTGGTGACGACTATCAAATGGCTGCCATTAACTTTGGCTTTACTGACCAAACAGGCAAAACTTTTTCCATATAATCTAACTGAAATGTTGCCATAGTTCCACCAGAGGCTTCATATAGAACTACTGATAACTGTTACTGCCCAGATGTTTTGCATTCGTGTCATTGTGTCTCCTCAGGCCTGGATGCCGCACAAAAGGAGCTGGTCGCCTGTAGTCACAACCGAGCGGCCAAGCTGTTCACTGACTCCATCCTCTCCACCTGTCCGTACACAGCCTTCCAGTGTCCCTCCTACCAACAGTACATAAGCGTAAGAACTAATAATTAACTTCTACAGTAATTACAAGAAACGCTTATTTTTTCTGAAGGGAGAACCTTTTATTTAAGTGACGAGCCGGAATAATAGTCTAACACGGACCCATCATCGATGAAACCCTCACATTTGTGGTGCCTTTTACCTTTAAAACCATTACTGTGTTTAATATGAAACCTAAACCCAGCTCCAGTGTCTCATGCTTTCTGGACACTACAGGGGAAGTGTGCGAGCTGTGGGGAGGACGGGAGCGGCTGTGCTCGTCTGGGTCTTCACGCTGACAAGTGGCCGGGCAGTAACCAGAACCAGAGTCTAGTGAGCCTCTACCTCACCACCACCGCCGGACCTCTCTTCTGTCGTAAGACCTCTCATACACTCCTGTCCAGACATTTACATCCAATATATACAGGGTGATTCAGCAAAGAGTACATTAAATTGGAGGATGAAATCCTTGGATAATTCTAAACCACAATGTCTCTATGGTAAAATGTCAGATTCTGCATAGTTTCCATGTTACAATACATTTAAGATGCTGTATTAATGAAAGTGAATTTGAAGTGAAACCCCCGTAGGTTTTTGTAATCATTCATTCACAGATCTCTACAGTTGGCTCCTCTTTGTCACAACCTAAAGCAAATGTTCAAAGTTGCCCCCTTCTGCCTGAATGCAGGCCTGTACACGTCTTACCATTGATTGTCTGAAGTGTTCCAGAATGCCTGGACTATGTTTAATTTGCTCGCACCTGTTACAACACGTGGGCATATGCAGAATCAGACATTTTACCATAGACACATTGTGGTTCAGAATTATCCAAGGATTTCATCCTCCAATTTTTGTACTCTTTGCTGAATCACCCTGTATAATTGCGAAGTTCATATGTACAAGTTAGACTCCTTCAACAGGTGTGATCGATACACCTCTGCCAAGCAATTAAGGGTTACATGTGGATAAATATGACCTAAGATTTATTAATTTTCCATATCAGCCCGTGTTCCCCCACAGTGTATCACTACCGTCTGATGTTGGAGCTTGCTGATCCCGGTAAAGTAGAGGGAAGTCTTCGCGGTAAACTAAAAGTGTCCTTCATCACGGAAGATGGCAGTATCGAGGATTTCGACCTCACAGAAGAGTATGTCATATACCAACGCTTTAACTGGATGATAGGTCAAATGTTGATCATAAGCCTCGAGTGCAAATGTATCATGGGTGACTATTATGCCTTGCTTTTTGTTTCAGTGGTCCTGTGAATCTCTCTCGTGGTAAGATGTACTCGTTTTTCCTGTACCATAACAAGGACTTGAGCACTGCTAGTGAGGCCCTCGTCCAGTGGACTTACGAAACCGATATGTTCAACCCGATGAGTTACTGCGTCCTCTTCTGTGACACCAGTCTGTCTCTGTCTAAACTCGTCTTTACCAGCGTCGACTACTTGGTGGCTGAGTAAGTGATCCGTGTTACTGTGTTCATGATCAAAGTTTCCCAGTCAAGTTCATGACAAGAGAACCGGTCATGTTGAACTAGACGTTACTGTAACTTCGATGAGTGTTAATTATTCACGAGCACATAAGCACCAATACTGCACAGAGGTAAAAACTGGTTCCCGACAGCATAATTAATTATAACGAGACGTGACAAGATAAAATTATGAAGTCGGCAGACGAATTTAATAGTGATCCATTATGCTTTATTTTCACCTGACAGAGACGTGGCAAACAGAACGAACGAGGTGGTAATGTGTCACCAACAGGGCCTAGGTGTGGTGAGGATTGTGAGTGAGGCGACGGTGAAGGTGGTGTCATCACCCTCCTGCCTCAACATCACAACCCAAGAAGTCACCAGGCATCACCCCGTCGAAACCATCATAGCTAATCGCCATAACGAGACCATGGAGCTACTGAATGCTGGCTTCGCGTCTATATCATCTATATTCTCCATTAAATAAACAGTGAACTTCAGAGTCCACTGGAGGCGCACTGAGATGAAGCTAATGATATTCTGGCGGCGAAACACGTGTTGGAAATGGTGGGGGATACCTTGACTCACTTCTATAATGAGCTAATATAATATTCTAAGTTTCTAAATAGTCTAAGACGCGGCAAATGAGTTTACTATAGTACAACGCCTTCAATGTTTAATATAAGTTTTCTACTCTTCAACCTGCAAGAGTAATATTGTACTATATGGTTTAATTTCTTATACTACAAACGTGTCTCTACAGTATAGTCAAGATACACGAATCCATGACAACTCTCTAGCCTACAGTATACCAACTAACATGATATCTTTTTTTAAGTATCTCATCTTTCTTCCTTACCATTTTATATCTTCATCATTATAGCTGTATATTTAATGCAATCAACTTCCAGAAATGTTGTATTATATTAAGTAATCATTTTCATTTGTATTTTCCACACCAGCACACTATTGATAGTTTTTATATAGCTACAGTATACATACATATTAAGGTTATCTGTTTTATGCTATTTAACGTAACCTAATCTAATTTAAACTAACGTTAACTAATATCTGCCGGGGAACAGACACATAATAATGGATGGTTTCGGACTGTCAACAAATCTCCTTGGCAAGGGAAAAACGAAGGCTCACTATACCTAAAATACACACTAACGAACAGACTTACAAGGAACACCTAAAAGTATGTAGTTATCATATGTATATATTTACCATATCCTGTCTTGCCATGGACATAATCACAATAACAAACAGACGAGGCTTCATCACCGTAGTTGGGGCCTAAACACACAGCGAGTGACATGTTACCCAAATATGAAGCGAATGTGAAGGATATAAACATCGATTCTGTGCTCCATGAATACTTTGTTCAACTAGATAAGAAGGACTAATAGTAATATTTACCAAAACAACTATGGAGTGGTTAAAAGAATGCTAAAATATACTGTACGTGACTGAGAATAACATACCAAAAACGGATCCGGGGTTTTATGTAGGCGCGGCCGAAGCGTTTTGATTTTAAACTCTCAAAGGTCAGATTTTTTAAGGAATTAAAATCAAGTACACCCATAGACAAAAGTTTACGTGCTTGCAGCTAACATTAAAAGCCAAGTGGACTCCACGTAAAATAGGCATACAAAATCCAGAACTCAACGTACATTAAACTGCTGGAGAGAAAGTTGGTTAAGGTGTCACCTCAGTTGGTTGAACAAGTAGCCTATGGGGTTATTCATATGGACACATCTATTGCCGCATATAGCAAGGTGGTGGGAGATTACCTTCACCTGACTTCATTCACTACCTTCACCCACTAGGTCTGTTCACTAACCCCTGGTAGTTTAACACTGAATAAGCTACAATAATGAATGCATTGTGTAAATACAGTGTGATAGCAACTTTGTAATAATTATTTGTGTAAATTATTCCCATTAGTGTTTTATTACATTTACAACCAATATATTAAGTCTCCGTGGAGCACCGGTAAGATATGTCATAGTATTTACCGTTGTTTTCAATACCTGAATTACATATTAGTGATTTTGATACCCTATGAAATGTATTGTACCTTATAAAAATAATATGTTGGTGAAATACAAAACACATTTGACCTCCACATGGCTGGACTGGCCATGTTACCCGCATGGACGACAGTAGACTGCCATAGCAGCAACTTTACAGTCACTTAACGAATAGTCTGAAGACAAACCTGAAAAGTGCCAAATAGACCCCTCACATGGGAGACGATTACTCCACCGTAACGCTTGGAGGCACCACACGAGAAGGTGTCAATACTTCCGAGTTAGCCCAACTGCATAACGAGGCAGACAAGCGCCAACAGAAAGACGCTGCCACCGCCCCTCCCGCACTAGATGTAACCCCCCACATGGGCAACTTTTGAGATCGACCCTGCCGGTCCCGTACTGGCCTTTTAGTTGGTGACTAATAACTCGTATCATTGTCATAGCTGGATGATCGTCATACTCGATTCCGAGTGACATCAAAGTAAGATAGTAGTATGTGGGGTGTGTGGATAGGCGGGTGTGGGGATGGATGTAGGGTGTGGGGTGTGGATGGGCGGGGGGTGTGGATGGGCGGGTGTGTGGGGTGTGGATGGGTGGGTGTGGGGTGGGGATGTGTGAATCACGCAAAAGTTAACATGAATACAAAAATGCAGAGTGCAGGTGTGAGGTACAGTACGAACACAGACGGAAGGAGTCAAAAGGCAAGTAAAACAGTAAGGATGAGGGAAAGCGTGAGTGCTGGGAAATAGTGAGCGGAGATGACACAGTTGATGGATAAGTGAGGAAATAAGATAAAATGTTAATGGAAAAGTTGAGATATATGATTAGTGGAGCGAATGGGCGAAATGGCCAACGAAATGAGTGAGTGGCTTAGGAAAAAGCCAGAAAATGGCGATTGAAGGAGTGTCATGTGGCTACGCGTCTTATAAAATGGAATGAGTACTTGAGGAGGCGGACCGAGGCTAAAAGCTCAACACTAACAATATCTGGTACGATTTTTGCTTTATGGATTATGTGGGATTAGTTTATAGTTTAATGTTGTTTTCATTAAAAGTCTGTTAACATGAATAAAATGCAGAAAATGTTCAAATCACTGTACAACTATGAGACAATTCGATGCCAGATATTGTCCGTGTCAAGATTATTTTTTTGGCAGCAACCACGTTTTTTTACTACATTTTTACAGAGAATAAATGTTTTAATTACAAATTGTTTTTTCTTGTCTTAAACACACGAACAAACCGATGAACACACTCACACCTCAACCCCGACAGTACACTGCATGCATAGCGACTCTTGTAAATATATAGGGTAAATATAAAGCAGTTGTGAACACCTAATTTACTAATGAAAATAGGTTTTATAAAGTGATTCAGCGTGTTATATGACCATCATTGCCGTCGGAAATGAGCCGTTATTAATAATAAAAACGGAAAACGCAAAAAAAAAAAAACTGACTTGACCTAACCAGAGTAACTATAAATACCTGACCTAACTTCCAAGTCAGGGGGTGGGGGTGGACCTCTGGTGATTAAAATTTTCCTTAATTAAGAAATGCAGGAGAAAATCAACAATGACCAGATCTCTCTCTTTTCAGTGTCCGTCTCTTACCACAGTACCAGGTATGGCGATCTACACGGTACTGACACTCGGAATCGCATTTCAGACACTTTCTGACGAAACGAGAATATCGTGAGCTTGAAAAATGTCAACAGCTGCGGTTTCGTTTTCTAGGATGCGTTAAAATATAATGTACCAGCAAAGACGGAAAGCAAGGCAAAAACCGCGTAAGCCACATAGCGTATAGTTGGCCTCGGGATCCACAGATGGCGTCAGTGAGCAAGGCGCGAGTCGTCTCTGCTGGTTTACACGAAGACCGGACATTTAACCATGAGTGGGCGTCACCGTCACCCGTGTGCCGTATGCACACATACAAAAACAGATGACCCTCAGCTTGTGTTTCGCGTTTTCCCCCAAAGCAGAAAATGGTAATAGCAACACTGTTTATAAATATTGTTCATGTTCTAACTAAATTAAATGGTTTAAACATTTATTTGGCGAAGACTGAATGGGTAGTTATACAGGCCCCTATTTCAATCAAGGTAATTGCAATCCATATTTTACGCCCAATATCATTTCATTTTGGCTTCCCTATGGATATTTAGAGCCTTTCATGTTATCATAAACTATATATATAAGAAAATAGCCATAGGCTATTGGTTGAATATGAAAAAAAAGTCTAGGCAAAAATGTTCACTTGTCTTCGTATTTGGCTTTCATAACTGACGGATATCTAAGGTTATGCCACATTAATAAAGTCTATTTACAAGTTTACTCAGCCATAAAAAAATATTTGTACCATAAATGTGAACAATACAAATCTTCTATTTTGGTACAAAATACTTGAAAAGTTGTAAGACAAAAGATGCGTCTCTTCCATTCCCACGACAAATAGGAACACTCAAGCCTCTTCTTATCGTGTAAAAAAATTAATAATATCGTACTTCAGTATGTTGATTTACCAAGACATTTCCTTCATTATTTTTTGATGAAACAAGTCTAACAAGCAATATTACAACATATATTATTAATTTTTGTTATGCAATCGGGAAATAGCGACTTGCTATATCCGGGTTTACCATGTTACATTACCTAAGGAGGTCTTGTATGTTAGGTCTTGAATACGGACTCGCTTACGGAATCCGCTGGCAAATATTTGTTTTGAAAATACCGATCAGCGGAGACGGCAAGTCCAGTTACGGGGTAAACAAAAGAGTAGTCTCGTAAATGCTTTTGAAAATGCGGCCTCTGGACACGATGTGGTAAAACAGTCATCTACTACACAAGTGGTCATACACTGAGCTGCCTGAGCAATGACATTACCTTAGGTACTTGTCTAATAATCCAAGACAAGGACCTCAGATAGGTAGTCGAGGGAAATACGGCTAGAAAAGTAGTAGTTTTACCTGTTTGTTGAGTCATGTGTTCTTGATTCTTAGTTTGTAACCTCACAACACTCGTTTATTCTATCTTGTTGGTCTCAAATGTAATCCATTCACAGGCCTGCTGAGATCTCTGGCACTTAAACCTCCTAGTCCCCGCTCATTTGCTTGTGTTAGGTCTCCACACAGTCCACAGCCACATAATGGATACTGTACACAGAAAGTGATCCCTACGCTACTCAGATCGTCAACTCGCCTCTCCTCACTGTCAATGTATAATAACTATCTGGCAACTCAATAAATAAAGTGTGGCGGAGGAAACTCTTTCATAAGTTCTTAGGTACAAATATTTCCGTAAAATGACAGTGCAGGTATACGAAAAAATTTAATGAGTAAATTTATTCACCAAAGTATAACACAAGAAATGTGTTACTAGGGATCCTTAATCCCCTTCATATAAAATTAATATCAAGTGAAAAGAGTTGACTTATTCTATTGTTCAAATTATATCAGGAAAAAAAGATTTGTCGTCATATCACTCACTATAAACACCTAAAACTTAAAACTACATTACTCGCTAGTACTCAAGGCTTTCTGATAATGTTAAAAGCAATATAGATGTCATAGAAAATGGAAGCTATTGAAAGGCTATCAATTGTATCTTCGACGACTGAAAAACATCCGTATGCAATGAGACATACTGTGATAATAATACTAGTTGGCGTGTTGTGCCTCAAAAGCGCCAGTTATCTTTGAATATTCACTAGTTTTGACCATATAAAAGTGTTAAAGGGACAACTGAGTGAGAAAATTTTAATTAATTACTACAACTATTACAGAAAAACTCACTACAACTATTATAGAAAAACTCACTACAACTATTATTCTTTGTTTATCCGAATTTTAAGAAAGCAATATAGCATTTCCCTTTAGTGTTTGGATGAATGACTCATATATAGAGATCAATAGGCTAATTTCCTTGGTTTCCGTAAGAGTTTAGGATAAATGTAATCATATATCGACTTACTTAAAGGGAGATGGTGATTTGAAGGCCTTTTAGTCATGAAATTTACATAAAACATCACTAATTTAACCACAGATCTCCTAGAATAATGAAGTCGTTTTCGGTGATGTAATTCTAACCTACATAGATATTTACTTCACGTTATGGTCTATGTGCAGGGTTTAGCTTTTTATGTGACCTTTATGGACGAAGAAGATAAAGTAAAGAGTGAACTGAGAGATACAATATTGTAAATACTTTTGAGCATCCGGTCCCAGGTTGATCTCGCTGATATGATGAGGTGACGCTGTTGCAGATGCATTTCTTTTCGCTATCGTGGAAAAAAACAACAACACCAACTTGATCAATGCTTTTCAAGAAAATTAATGTATCTGTACTGTAAACCTAAATCTGTACTTGTGATAAATACAGAAATTAAAAGCAATAGAACAGGTCAAGAGTAATAAAAGATATGTATGTTGTGTTGTCAAAGTAAGAGAAACAATTGAGACCCTGCAATTGTATGTAAATGAGGCAGAAAGTCAGATCATCAACCTGGGACTTGGTCTATGGCAGCAGGGTCTACCATTAGACAACACATTATGCTTCCAATATCTTCCCAGGCGGTAGTACCTCCCTGTTTGGTAGCTGCCTACTACCTACAGCTCCATGTCAATACAGGAATGATTAAAAGTGAATATAACCCACATACATAGTGATCTTTTATTTGGTACTTTAAATCTAAACAAATGGAATCCATTCAACAGTTATTGGTATGTACTTAAAACTATTGATTAAACCACACAACACACAAGGTATAGAATCTTTTACTATCCATGCAGCATAACAATAGGCTCAAATATATGACTATATTTCTTAATACTTACGCTCTCATTTTTAGAAGAAAACAAACAACGAATTTTATTTTGACACTGAACACTGATGGTATAGACATTTTGACAATGACCCATATGTTTACCATATTACTGGAAGCAGTCATATGGTAATCCTCTCTAGTTTCCCCTGGAGAAGAACCATTTTCTACAATAGGATCTTCTTCAGAGAAAATGAACTGACTTAGACCAAAGAAAACGTACATTCAACTACGACAATGTCAGAAAGGAATTACTTGGGGCTCAGGTAAATATGTAGTCGAATGCTCCTTTCCCATGATCAGCCAATTCATGTATATTATTCATAGTAAGTCATCAGTTTCAGGAATTCCATGGCTCATAAATGATGGAAATAATACTTCTTCAGAATAAAGAGCCATGCTTAAATATCTGAAACTAAAGATTTACAAAGAAAACATAAACGAAAAAAAGAGACAAAAATACGACCAAATTAACCATCCTTATGCTTTACTGTTTATATTTTATTTTTACCAGAAAATAAACACTCATAAAACAACGAAACTGAACCGAAGTTAAACACCGCATCAACCACTAATCTATCCGTTTCAAAATAACTAAAATACTTGTATAATAATTTTTCTGTCTTGGTCCCTTCAAACCCTTTTAAAGCACTTCCTTCATCATAGGCCCATCACTTTCATCTTCCTTCATCATGCACATCATCTTCCTTCATCATAGGCCCATCACTTATCTTCTTCATCTAGGCCCACACTCATCTTCCTTCATCAAGCCCATCACTCTCATCTTCCTTCATCATAGGCCCATCACTCATCTTCCTTCATCATAGGCCCATCACTCATCTTCCTTCATCATAGGCCCATCCTCTCATCTTCCTTCATCATAGGCCCATCACTCTCATCTTCCTTCATCATAGGCCCATCATTCTCATCTTCCTTCATCATAGGCCCATCCTCTCATCTTCCTTCATCATAGGCCCATCACTCATCTTCCTTCATCATAGGCCCATCCTCTCATCTTCCTTCATCATAGGCCCATCCTCTCATCTTCCTTCATCATAGGCCCATCCTCTCATCTTCCTTCATCTAGGCCATCACTCTCATCTTCCTTCATCATAGGCCCATCACTCTCATCTTCCTTCATCATAGGCCCATCACTCTCATCTTCCTTCATCATAGGCCCATCACTCTCATCTTCCTTCATCATAGGCCCATCACTCTCATCTTCCTTCATCATAGGCCGTTCACTCTCATCTTCCTTCATCATAGGCCCATCACTCTCATCTTCCTTCATCATAGGCCCATCACTCTCATCTTCCTTCATCATAGGCCCATCACTCTCATCTTCCTTCATCATAGGCCCATCACTGCCATCTTCCTTCATCATAGGCCCATCACTGCCATCTTCCTTCAATATAGGCCCATCATTCTCATCTTCCTTCATCATAGGCCAGTTAATACCATCTTCCTTCACCATAGGCCCATCACTCATCCTCCATCATAGGCCCATCACTGTCTTCCTTCAATTAGGTCAACACACTATTCCGGGAAGGACCATGAGGCTAGGGTCCTGTGTAGTGTATCGGCGACTCATTTGTGGTAACCTCAACAATCTTCGTATGCAAGACAACATAATCTCTATTTATTACCATTACTATCATTATTCTTGTTGTCATTATCATCATCATTATTGTCCTTATTATCGTTAAACAAATTATTCTTGTTGTCATTATCATCATTGTTATTATTATCGTTACACAAATCGAAATGTTTCATGTTGTCCAGGGGAGGTAGTGATTCAAAAGGTTAGGGTGGCGCCCCTGGAGACAACACGACACTCACATATATCAGCTTGTGTTTGTTTACTGCCAACTGACGAGCGGTGTCAGGAAAGACTGGAGCATCAGTAAATAAATTATTTTTCATTGCCTATTAAACAGCCTCTTTTCTTATTTAGAATATTATGCAATTATTATCAGATATTGTAGTGCCTCTTTTTTGTGTTCACGTGGAAAGAGAGAATTCGACGGCTTTGTGAAAAAAAATATAATGGTGTTTCTAATGGCATGGTTCACCTTAAGGTATTTCTTTATAGGATTTTCAACTCTAAATGCTCAGGTCAGTAACTCCTTGACCTCACTAAACAGCAGAATATAGTAATGTACACAACATTAATTTTATCAAGTCAGTGATCTCAAAATATCATCATCACTTGTTCAAAGATCCTTTAGCGGAGATCGTATCAGGTTGTACAAAATAAGTATAACCAGTAATCAATTAGGGTTCTGCTCATGTAGGTGAAGAAGTATAGTTGCAAACCAGCCCGCCGTCACCACCTGCGCTGGCGGGCCAACAAACGAGTGTCTACTGTACCAAAATTGGGCAACTTGTGTCAGGGTGTGAGGGACTGAGGCGACACACAGTGGAGTTTATCCCTCAAAACTCACACACACACACATCATGGCTCTGTTACCATTGTTCATCCTTTCGTCGAAATACAAGTACAACTCTGAACGAAAAGTGAACACTGGTGAGCGTATGTGTGTGAGGAGGAGCGTGTGTGTGTGTCTGTCTCCTCAGTTCGGATCTAAATGGGACTTTAAATGGGAAAGTAAAGGTTTAAATCACAAGACAAAACTAATTTGGGCAAATTACTGTGACTTGACTTCTACTAACTGTCTGATTCATCTCAGTTCATACCTGTACCTCCTGGTCTGCTCTTACGATGTATCCACGTCATGTTGTCGCTTTGCTAACTTACAAAGTGTAAATCTAATACAGGTCGTGAAACTCTAAATACTGGTTAAGTTTGCTTGAGCTAATGACGTTTCTAATACTTTACGAGTACCAAGTTTATTAAAAAGAATTACTCCGATATCAATACTGCAGAAGTTGATTACAGAAATACTATGTAATTCATTTCATTTAAGACTTATCTAAAGAACTGTATTATTTCATATTTAAAATAGTATGCGTTATATCAATGAATGTATATAAAAAGTATACCACTCAGTCTTCAAAAGTATTAAAAGTTTTATCAACGAGCATCATACACGAGCCAGGCTGTTTGACTCGATAATATTTTTCATAAATTTAATGATGCAGTGACTGAGAAGCTCGTAACAATACTTTATAATGGCAAAGGCTCCATATTGAACTTCTCAAGAGGTAGTGAAGTGTTCATCAAGTCTCTACTGCTTCACTTACAACTCCACTTTCCTTTATGGGGTTCAATAAGAACAAAAATAAACACGCCTTCACACGGGACTGTCTCATCCTCTGCCATTCGTCATGTGAATCAACGTCAGCTGTTCACCCACACGTTGTATTGTACTCTTGCGTCATCATTCGCTTTGCTATGACAATTATATATCATTATTTCCATTGAACTTCAAATATGATTTAATATAAAAACTTTTAAGTTTTTGTCTCTATACAGTATATGCTTCACCCCACCGTGCGCGTACTCACATTCTCTTTTTATGTAGATTCGAATTAATATCACCAATTTCGAGTCGGGTATAAAATAGACTGATTATCTTGGGCATCGACACTGCTCAGTGCTCACAACCATACCTCTTCACTCTGAGCAACTAGTCAGACTCTCTCAGAGGCGCAGGCCGCCGGGGAGAGCCTGGCTGACGAGTTCTCGTTGCTCGTCTCCGACACCTTGGAGGTCGGGACTGGCGGCTGGATGGTCTTAGATCCTGGCGACTGGGCTGTGTTCATCACCGGATTCTTGTCGCTGAAATAACCACCAGGCTTGGGTTTGAGGTGACGGTTGTTCATCTCCATATGCACGATCTTCACAAACTCCATCTGGGCCGCCAGCTTCTGGATCTCCTCCTGATGCCCAGGAAAAAGTGTTACCCCGTTAATACATATTTGCCTGGGGCTACATAAAGCTAAATAAGCGTTCAGGAAAGCATATATGGGGGTTATAAAGGGATAGGGTACTTACGTGCTGTGCATAGTACAAAAAACTGTGACAATTCCAAAGAAAATTATGAAAGTAAAAGATTTATGCTCTAGAGTATAGTGCAGGTGACTAGGCTAAAGGAACATTACAGTAAGTGCAAGACACATACCATATCCCTTTTAAATTGTGAGGAGTCTCCTTAATTCTTCCTGGAAATGGAAAAAATAATTTGGCCATGGCGTTAGGCTGAGGAACCAAGCACATGCGAGAGAGAGAGAGAGAGAGAGAGAGAGAGAGAGAGAGAGAGAGGAGTGACCTATAAGTTACGTACACCTAGTAAAGTGACAAACAGTGAAGGAATAAGACAAGTACATGATTGTAAAATGTCAGCCGGCAGGTGGAGATGACTCAGATTATATGGCTACAGCGTGAGGTGAACACGGACCTGTAGTTGAAGGTACAGTACATTGTGTTGACAGTTCTGTGACAGTGAAGAATAAATAGTAAGGGGATGAAAGCTGATATTCGGGTCTTGCTAATCCGTTACCTAAAGGTGGAACAACAATACAGGGTTTTTGTAAAGGTTAAAAAAATACGTAATGAAATGTGAGGACAATATTAATGTCTTCACGCACACTACACTCGGGAGGAAATAACTAGGGAGAAATTTCAATTCGGTGATACGAGTAATTTTGCCACGTACTTTTACTTATAAAGCTTATCCTGTCTGGCCTTTTGTTATCGTTAGTGTATTGCCGTGAAATGGGATACGCAAACTTGTCATTAATTACATCTACTGTATATAAGTTGACAAACATCCACACCTTTGAGTTAATGTTGCTTGATGAAGAATAACAAGTTTATTATAATGCTAAGGTCAAGGAAGGTTATCTTAGCTAGCCTGGGGGTGGGGGATGAGGCTGGGGTGGGGGGTGATGCTGGGGTGGGGGTGAGGGTGTGTGAGGTGGGGGTGAGGCTGGGGTGGGGGTGAGGGTGTGGTGGGGGTGAGCTGGGGTGGGGTGAGGTGGGGGTGGGGTGAGGTGGTGTAGTCATATATATATATATACATGTGAAATCTATACATAAGTGAAACATACAAAATTATATACTGTACATCTAAAATATACTATACATGCATTTGTGTATGTGTGTGTGTGTTTAGAGGTATGTATGTATGTATGTATGTATGTATGTATGTATGTATGTATGTATGTATGTATGTATGTATGTATGAATATATAAAAACTTCTCACACACACACACACACACGAGGCACTGTGATTTCACATATACACAAGCAGTTATTTATACTCTGTGACTACATAAACACACAGCAAACAGGTGTATAGTCCCCTTCACTAGTGCGTTTACAGGGGCTTGTCAGGTTTTGTGCAGTGTGGCAGCCCTGTGTTTGTTTACATTCGACAGAAGATAACTAACAATAGTAAACACAATATGGAATCAAATTAAAACAATATTAAAACACATATCTCAAAGATAATGATTTGTGGAATGTTTATATGATGAGCCTCTGTAAACGCACTAGTGAAGGGGATTACATGATAATTACACACACACATACACACAGATGTACTTTACGACCACACACACACACACACACACACACACTTGACCACATCCTCGCTCACCTTCAACTCCTCATTCTCCTGGGAGAGGTCAGCAGGCTCTTCGTTCATCACACCCAGACCGTTAAGGGAGAAGCTGGCCGTCCACACCTTGGCCCGCGCTCTGTTGTCATACTGGTCGCCTGTCCCCTGCACGATGCGGTAGAACTGCAAAACAACATCACCGTGAGACAACAAAAGGCTTCATCCACCCAAGAAAACACTGGTTAAGATCGGCAAGATGTGACTCATATCAAAGTGTGGGATATTTATGTCGTAAGTGAGGGGAAACATGTCAAGGGTTTATGTGTGTGTGTGTGTGTGTGTGTGTGTGTGTGTGTTGTGTGTGTGTTGTGTGTGTGTGTGTGTGTGTGTGTGTGTGTGTGTGTCTTCAAGTTATACTATCACCATGAACGAGACATAATTATATAATCATTTTAATGGCTCTTTTTTAAGTTGTGAAATAAAGTTAACGGCGTTGGTTGTTTGGGAGTGTCACCACCCTTCCCACAGCCTCAAAACACTCACCTTGGGGCCAAAGATGAGCAGGACGGTGGTCGAGGTGCTAAACTGTGTCCTCAGGAAGCCAAACAGGTACTTGACGTCCGGTCCAGCCTTGGGTAAGATCAACAAGCTGTGTGGTGGGGGAAAATCCGTCACATATTGTGTTATTACGACTTGGTGGGGGAAATTTTGATCAAACGTAAAGAAAATACGAGAGAAATATAGAGGTGGAATAATAAAAGAAAATATAATGAAAAATAACAGTAAATGATTAAGAAAGCATTACCCCCTATTAAGTCATGGGTGGGGTAAACTGCGGGGGGTTAGGATTTTTTTTCACCGTTAACCCACAGTATTAAACGTCTGGGAGCAAGTTATGGGACGCGTGGCAGGGGAGATTACCTTAACACTAGGGAATGTGTGTGGTGGGAAATTATGATGACAGGTGGGGAGATATATGTGTGTGGTAAAGGAAGGATAACCAGATAAAGGAGGAGGGAGAGATGAGAGTGGTGGAGAGGTTAGATGGAGGGGAATGGGAGATGAATTGAATTGGTTAGAGGAGGTTAGGTTAGGGGAGGGTAGGTTACAGTAGGGATGGTTAGGGTAGGTTGGGGAAAGAGGGAAGAGTGTGGGGGAAAAGAGGGAAGAGTGTGTGAAAGAAGGTAGGAAAGATAAAGAGGGAAATTCATTTTTGTTTCCAATAGACAACCATTTCTACTTAAAAAATACCACAAATGTTAAAAAATATATACATTTACTTACAACATAAAAACAAACACACAAACAAGTAAATAAGCTGTATAAACCACAAATGGCAACGAAATAAGAAAATAATCAAGTGACCCCACAATATCGGGTTCTATGACTCGGTAAATATACTAACGTTCTCTATGGTTATTGATTGTCTTTAAGAGGGGAAACTCAAGTAGACCAGAAGATTGCAATTCCAGTCTATATGGTTTGAATTTCCAAGGGTTTAATTCTCTTCACTGAGGCAGATAATACGAGGAGAGCCAGAAGTAATATAAGACTGGGCAGACCATAAACACAATTTAGGTTAACAAAATAGTTGGATAATCTATTTATAAGAGTCAAACAGTTGAAGACAGGTTGGCGGACAGGTGAAGACAGGAAGACGCAATTGAAGAAAGGATGACACAGGAGAAGACAGGATGACACAGGGGAAGACAGGAAGAGACAGACAGGTTGACGGACAGGAGAAGACAGAGCAGTTGAAGACAGAAAGCTGAAGAAAGGAAAAGATAGACGGTTAAAGACAGGGAGGAAGCTGAAGACAGGAAAAAAAGACGTTAAAGACAAGAACAGACAGATGGAGATAGGTCAGAACAGACAGGTGAAGACAGGTTATAAAGAAACAGGTGAAAACAGGTAGCCCAAAATAGTCCACACAAACACACACACACATAGACTCACTGGAAGGTCACCATCACAATGTTGACCACAGCGATGTTGTAGACGGCCCACGAGATGTACTTTGCCTCGTTGAAGAAGCTCTCAGCCTTGCGCACGCTGAAGCACACCTTGACCCCCCATATCAGGAAGAGCATTTCACCTGACGAAAACGAAGTAGAACCTATAGGTGATGGCCGCTCGTTTATCTACCATCCTTCTTATCTAGTTCTAAAAGTCTTCCCTCTTGGTGATGATGAAGATAATGATTTAAGATTTCTGTGTGATGATGGTGGTGTAGTGATAGTGACTGACAGGAATAAGAAGTTTGTTTAATGTACTGTAATGTTTACTTGGGTCGTCTCCTAAAACCTTCACACCTTGGAAATATTGGTTTTTATATTAGTATGTATGTATGTATATATGTATGT